TTAACAGCAGAGCAGCTGCACAAACAGCACATTCCATTTGAATTGGTTGAATTGAATTGTAGCTCATAAAAAAATAATTATTACCTCACGCTGCCTGGACTAACACTGTTAAAATCTTGTCAGTGAAAGTGAGCCATACTCATAATGCATTATCCAAGAGAAGAGTTTACTGAAGAAACTCCAGAAAGCAAATGCTTGCTGAGGGTGGTGCAATGACATCCAGATGTTGCATAGGCTCCTTGTCCTCGAATAGCAATTCTTCCCTGGAGTTATGTAAGAGTTGCTCCACCCTCTGAAGACTATTCCCACCCTTGCATCCGATTCTGCTGGAGAGAAAACGTGTCTGGCATGTGCCTGCATCCTGACTTTTGCTTACTTTTATAAAACGCAATCTGCATATGGTCTTTTAATTTTCTAATGGTGAAAAATTGCATCATGTTGCGGTTAGGCATCTTCTATCTGATGAACGTGACTATGTCACAGTTATTCAGTTGCGTGTTTGATGTTGGTTGGGAAAAGCTCTGGAACCTTCTGCATGCTCACACAGACACGTACACACACGTGGTGTATATTTAGACCACAGATATGAGGCACTGTGAGGGGAACAGCAGGTAACTGTTTCCTTCCCACATCGTTTCTGATGCATGTCCCTTTATACCACACAAGGCAGACAGTAAAAGCATTTTTATCTTAATGATTTAGTCTTGATTAATTGGCCTCTGGTTGAACTCGAGTCTGCACATGCTGAGGAATCTCAGTGTAAACTGTCACTCCTGGGCATTCAGAAGGACAAACAAACATGGGGGTGGGGTGGGTTGTAAAAACTGTTAATGAGCTCATTTGTTGGGTAGTCATGTATGTAACTCAGCTTCAGGTACTTGTGAGTTCTAAACATGGCTATGAGTGGGTTGTGGACTTTTTTGTCCCTCAAAATTTCATAGAAAGTTCTAGATGCCTCCCCCAACACATCACTAAAAAAGTCAAGCCACTCATCAGCTGGCATGTCAGGGCAATTTGTAGAGAGCAGTAAAAGAAAAGCACTGGGAGGGGGGTCAAGAGATAGATGGAATTCCTTTGGGTGGAGAACACCTAGTCCTGCAGTGTCAGACACCCAGATCAATATTTTATTATCTGCATAAGTAAAGCTATAGCATGAAATGTCTTTCTTTGTACTGGAGACAGGTTTCAGTTCTGTAGATGAATCAGAGATGAATCAGAGATAAAACAGGAGACAGATAATCCTGTGAATGTAAATGTGCGATTTTGAGATCACAATACAGACAATAACATTAATCTGTGTGCTAAAGAAAAGGCTCAGCAGTTTTATGAAACTTTTCTTTCCGAAGAAAGCAGATCCTGCTTGGCTTTTTTTAAAAAAAAAAAACATCAGTGGTTTTCCAGACAACCCCCATCGTTTAGTAGCTACCCTGCAATCAGCAGCTGAGTTGGACAGACGTGGCAGCATGGGTGTGGGGGTAGGGCTGAGGCTCCTGCAACTTCTGGGGAAGCATGAATACTGCTGCATGAAACTTTCTGGATGTTTCCATGTGAAGTTAAGCAGCAGTTTAACAACAGCCAGGGAACAAGTTACAGCTTTTATTCTGAAAACTTCTGGAGTAAAAAATGCTTACTGAGTAACATCCTGCCTGCTGAGACTGTTTTGATGCATGGTGGTGTTCCATACTTGAAGAGAAGCTCATACACACAAATGCCAAAGAGTACAAAAATAACTTTAACTCTGTATTTATATGCATGCAAAACAATCATTTAATTCACAGTCAGTGGCAGCTTAATCTTTATCTCCAATCATGTGATGAAACTAGAGTTTAAGATTGAGTCAGCAAGCAGTGTTAAAAACAGAGGAGACTGAGGCAGAAACTTAAGACTGACCAGGATTCAGATTTTCTAGTCAGGAGCCTTTTGTGGGAAAGTTTTAACGCTGATCCAGGACCAGCACTTACTTCAGTCGGCACAGCTTTCATCCCACCCCGTGATTTCAAGAGGGGACGTCCCAGCTCCCAGCTTCCTGAGGAAACACAGACACCCTCATTTGAATATCCCATTCCCAACTTCTAGAAAATTCTCTTTTAGGATATATAGAGCCAGGAAAGTCTGTCACAGCCACGCTATCCACCGGACACAGCTCGGAGAAGCAACCCTGCGATAATCAGTGCCAGGTAAGGATCAGAAGATAATGGTCTTTGTTTCGCAGGGAGGAATGCGGCAACTGAATGAACTGCTTTGTTTTCATTTGTTACAGCTGCAGTTCAGCTACCCTCCATTTTAACCAGTTTGAAAGCTGCAGCTGAGATTCCTCTGTCTGTCAGAGAATACTTCTTGTATTTCTTCTGTTTCCAGTAGGGAACAAATCCTGACCTGTTATCAGAGCTGAAAGTTGTCATGCAGCTGGCAGGGTGGCGCAGGCTTTCTGCTGCTTTCATGTCAGAACTTTGACAACAGTTTAAATGCATTCAGTTCAAATAAATAAAAAAAAGGTTTGCAGGAAAGTAGCGTGCCTGCACCCAGTTTAGCTTGTCTTTCCACTAGGAAGAGTATCACTTTGACTGTGGCAAAGCTCATTGGATCAAAGCATTTTTCCCCCTCCAGGGTCGGGAAACAAACAGTGAAAAGTGCCTCATCTTGAATGAGTGGTGGGTTGACTAGATTGGCAGCTTAATATTTAATGTTTAAATTCTAGTGGTAGAAAACTTGAAACTAGAACAGAGAGGTTAGACTTTTTACTTTGCATAGAGTTTCTCTCCATGAGAATCTGCCTATATGTTCTCACTGCCTGCTCCACAGAGATTACTACATACACCTCTTGTCTTTCAGAATGAAAATCGCAGAAATGAAAACATCTCAAGGTATCACAAACATGCAATCACAGAGGAGTCTGCATGAGAAACAGTATGCCAGTGCAGCTGGTTATTCAGAGCCCGAGGCTGTGCATTCAGCCCATTGTTTGAACCAGACATTGGGTGATTTGGGTGCAGCCTACAGGCATACGCCCTTTTCTTTCTCTGCAGGAAACATGAAAAAAGTCTGCACTGTATGTCTCGCAAGACTGTGGCAAAGGGATTTCTGATCCTCGCATCTGAGGAGACACTATTAACCATTTGTATCACTTAAAATGTGTCCGGAGAAGCGAGATCCAGCTCAATCCAAGTAAACGTCGAGTTTCAGCTGTTCAGCTCAGGCAGTGGTCGCTGCTGACGTGGCACCAAACATGTCTCCCTCAAACTCGGGACATTCCAGAGCTCCTGAGTGGGCTGGGTCAACTCTGCCCTGCCTCCACAGCTCCACAACCCAAGTGTAGTCGGCTCCCTGGCATTTTCTTTCTGAGATATATTTTAATAAATGAATATATTTCTGAAAATCACAAACATGCTCTTCTTCTTTTTCTTCTTCTTCTTTTTAAGTAATAATGTCATTATCGTTCTCTTTGCTTCCTCTTCACAGAGTGCAGCTGCTGTTGGAGACAGACAGGATGTGGATGACTAACATTGTAGGCCTTTGTCTGCTGGCCTTGGTGGCCTCTGCAGAGGATGTGAAGCTGAGCACCCACGCTACTGCGCTGGCTGATAAGAGCACCAACTTGGCCTTCAGGTTTATATATTATTGATTCTGGCGCACTTGTAACGTAAAGTAATATTCTCTGTGTTTATATATAAATATATGCATTTTTTCAAATTTCACTTTAGCCTCTACCACACCATGGCAAAGGAGAAAGACACAGAGAACATCATCATTTCTCCTGTGGTGGTGGCCTCCTCTCTGGGGCTGGTGGCTCTTGGTGGCAAAGCCTCCACTGCCTCCCAGGTGAAAACAGTCCTCAGCGCTGACAAACTCAAGGATGAGCATCTGCACGCAGGCCTGTCAGAGCTCCTCACTGAGGTAAGGAGCTTCCCTTGTTTCATAATTCCACCATCATCACCACAGGCCATAGACTCCGAGCTGTCCTTATATCACAAATTAATGGCGTACATGTGCCACTTCTTCTCAGGTGAGCAACGCCAAGACACGCAACACCACCTGGAAAATCAACAACCGCCTCTACGGCCCCAGCTCTGTGTCCTTCGCTGACGAGTTTGTGAAGAACAGCAAGAAGCACTACAACTACGACCACTCCAAAATCAATTTCAGGGACAAGAGGAGCGCAGTGAACTCCATCAACGAGTGGGCGGCCAAGTCCACAGGCGGCAAGCTGCCTGAGGTCACCAAGGACGTGCAAAACCCAGACGGAGCCATGATCGTCAACGCCATGTTCTTCAAGCGTGAGTATGGCGTTGACGCCTGACTGAAGCTCTTTGTGAGGCCAGACGCCTGTGCAGAGTTGTGACCTCGTGTCTTTTTTCCCCCCTCACAGCTCACTGGGAGGAGAAATTCCACGATAAAATGGTGGACACCCGTGGTTTCCTGGTTAGTCGCTCATTTACTGTCGGAGTTCCCATGATGCACCGCACAGGTGAGTTTCTCTCTCATCTTTCTTTTTGATCTTATTATGTCTCCAGAAGCTGATAAGCCACTCTGTCTTCAAGTACACGCACGTGATAAGATCTGCTTTGTCTGCCCCTCTCTCAGGTCTTTATGATTTCTACGAGGACACAGAAAATAAAGTCTTTGTGCTGAACATGCCTCTGGGCCAGAAACAGGCCTTCATGATCCTTATCATGCCCTATCACCTGGAGCCCCTGGAGCGCCTGGAGAAGCTCTTGACAAGGAAGCAGGTGGACACTTGGCTCAGCAAGATGGAGAACAGAGCCGTAGCCATCTCCCTGCCTAAGATCTCAGTGGAAGTCAGCCACAACCTGCAGGTAAATGTTTGCACACTGGATGGCTCAAATGCAGTGTAACTTTAGGAGTGTTAGAAAATATTACTGTGAACCCAGAGCGCTGAGCAACTTCATCTGTGTTTTGCAGAAACACCTGGCTGAGCTGGGCCTGACAGAAGCTGTGGACAAAGCCAAGGCTGACCTGTCCAACATCTCTGGAAAGAAGGATCTCTACCTTTCCAGCGTCTTCCACGCATCAGCCCTGGAGCTTGACATCGAAGGAAACCCATATGACACAAGCATCTTCGGTACTGAGAAGATGAGGAACCCCAAACTCTTCTACGTAGATCACCCCTTCATTTTCCTGGTAAAGGACAACAAGACCAACTCCATCCTGTACATCGGCAGAGTGGTTAAACCTAAAGGGGACAAAATGCGTGATGAGCTATAATGTTTAAAGTTATAAATCGTGGTGGGTAGCTTTATTATTTGTGAAATTATGGCAGGAAACGGTGCACGTGTGTAATTGTGTGGGATTTTATGCGCACGCATGTTTTGTTTTTGGTATGATTGTTACCTCAGTGGCACATTCCAATTGACAATCTGTGGACTGAATATCCGAGCTTAGAAACATTCGACTTTCCCAGGGAACAAATCTGTTTACATGGCTTCGTCTTAAGAACATGCTGGTTTGAATAATCTAAAAAAAAAAACACAGACGTGCCTTTTTTAAGACTTCCACAAACAAACAGCAGTCGGCACAGCAGACAGCATGCTTATATTAAGTACGAGTCCTCTTTCACATCCTGTTTTTGCCTGTGTGTGTTCAGCTACGACCTGTGTTTGTTTTTTTTGCAATATCTTTAATGTTTAAAGAGAAAAAAGATCGATGCACAAGCTGTTTTACAGTGCCGTCTCATTCCCCCTCTCATTTTGCCTCCAGTCTGCACTGAACTGTTCCCCTGCACGAGCTGAGCTTGCAGGGGAAAGGTGGCAAAACGTCTGGTGCTTAATTTAAGTTGCAAACCATCTTCTGTGTCGTTTTCTTGCTGTAGGTATTTTCCACAAAGAATCTGTTGGAATTGTGTGATTTATGTGATCAATGTGGACCTTTTTCAATAAAAAAAAATGACGAGAACATATTTGTGCGTGGCTCTTGTCTTTGTCGAGAATCTCCTGAATGAATACGACGTGAATGCCATTCAAATATGGATGATCGAGTGCTATAGGGAGCTGAACTGGAGAATGTGTGCACGCTAGTGTTAACATCTCTAAAGGATAACAATCTTTCCAGCTGGCTGAAGGTCAAACAGTCTTCCCAGGTCTGGAATGCAGTGATAACCCTCAAGGGAATTTGGTGGACCATTTTTCTAAACACTACTAGCCTAAATAATAACACCAGTGAGATCTTTTGTTGGGATCTTCCTGACAATGCAGACTCTACATTGTTTAAAAACTGGAGTGCAGGTTTCTCATGGTGAGTGGGAAATCTAATCTCCAGATGTTTGCGCATAGCAGGATGTAGCTGCAAGACAACAACACACTGACAAAAGAATAAACGTCTATAAATGAGCGCCTCATAGACTCTCAGTATTCCTGTAGGGCTTCTGTTTCATGCACGTCAAATACGCATTGGGACAGAAATAAAAATAAAGAATGCTACAATAAAAATCACCAGAACCTCTCATACGAGAGGACGTAATCTCATTGTGAGACACAAGTGGGTCTTCTACAGAGAAGCATGCCGCCACCTTGTGGTTGCTGAGAATAAGAGAGAGCAAGCTTTTTAAGGTGTTACAAATGAGTGATTTAGTTACTTTATATTTGCACAGATCTTACACATTGCATTACAGTTACATAATATACAAGACAAATAAACATCATATAAGTTACACAATATACATTACAATATATTGCTGACTGACTTAGCTGTTGATTTGTATACTGAGCATGAATAATGCTTCTTCTATTTGCAAAAATAACATGATGTGATCAGTGGGAGAATTTGCAAAATTTATAATCGGCTAAAATATGTTTCATTGTTCAGCGTGTGAATATAAGATCACTTCATACTTAGGGCTGAGTCCAAAACATGCATCAAAAAAAGGTACGTTTCTACTAAACGACATTTTGTATCTATTTCAGTTTTTTATCTGTAAAGTTTTTCCCTTATGCAATCCGCAATAAAACTACAGTGCACAGGGACATTTCTTGCATTGCTGTATTACTTTTCTTTTCTTTTTAATCTAAAAAGAAGTAAATAAGAGGTTAAAAAACAAAACAAACAAAAAAAACCCAAAATCTGCTCAGCGCTCATTCCCAAATTTTTTTGTGAAAATTTTGTGTTTTAATTCTCGTACAGGGCTTTCTAGCTCTTATGTCTGTGACAAGCACTATATATATATATATATATATATATACTTGCTAATTTAATTTGAACCGGAAGGTGGTGCTGTTCATCTGTTACTCCTTGCTGTCCTGGATATATATGTGTAAGTTATATACTGGGACCATTATCTTTTAAAGAAACCATGTGACACTTGACACACGATTACAAATTCATGTGTGTTAATAATAATTAAATAATAATAACAGTTTGGTTGGAATTTTGGTTGATGTGAATGAAAACATAATGTTTTCTCTACATTTTTGATTTTTTCCCCGTAAAGCCTGATGTATATACAGTCGACACACATACAGTGTGCCTGTGATCAATACATTTCACAAAAACGCCATATCTATTAAACGTGATACAAGTTAAAGCTCGTATATGCAAACTGATATTCAATGTCTTCTATTAATTCGTCAGAAGATTGAATAATCTCTCCAGTTTTATTTATTGATGTTTTTTATTATTCAGGCTTTACAGGTTTAAAATGTCTGAGATCATTGAGAATTTTTCACTGGGTCTGTTATTGATTTTTGTATCTTATTTGTATCGTCTTACTGAGCACCTCATCAGAAACAGAACATTAAGGTGGAATCATTTAACTAGAGTTTTGAGTGGTGACAATAGATGTTAAAATGACACCGAGCACATTAGAAACAGTGACATGTTTCACTAAAGGAAGTGGCCATTTTCCTCCTCATGACAGATATAAAAATGAGTCATACTTTTCCTTATTTATACTTGTTAAATATTTCAAGAAAAAGAAAACTGTAGGCATGGGCTTAAATGTACTTTGTCATGTGCTTCAAGACAGTAGAAATAAGCCTGATCGACCCCTTTCTTTTTTTCCTCTCATCTTGTTATTTTCATACAGTAGCAGCTTTTGCCTCAAACTTCGGATGGCTAACCAGTTTTAGAATTCAGCCACAGCTAAGTAACAGTCTTGACAACTATATTATGAGCTTTATAACAAACTAAAAACAGATAAAATCACCAGAAAAAAAGATAACATTTCATTTTGAAATAGGCGTTTGGGGCACTCAAATTTTCCAGCAAGTGAGCTTCTGATTGCCCTGTAATAGGTGACCACGCAGTGGCCGGTAGGTGCAGAGAGGAGCGAGCGAGTGCATCCATCATGAGGGAGTGGTGCACCTTCCCCGTGATTCTGGCAGCAGGTACGTAGGCAGGTAACTCTCATTACATTAGCACCGTTGTGTTTTGCTGCGCTGGCTGCAGGCAGATTAGCCGGTCGATGGACAATCCTCTTAAAGAAGTCTGCCTTAAGCCACAGTGAGAAGCTGGGTGGTGCTCTCTGTCCTCTGCGTGCCCCTCCCAGCTCTTTGTCTCTATTTGGATGGATGCTTACTCCTCCTGATGCTTTCTCCTCTCCTTTCCTCTCCTCTAGTTTTGCTTGCTCCACATTTCTCCTTCTCTTCCTTGCCTTCACAACTTTTTGTCCACCTGCCTGTTGGCCTTGCGGAAATGAGTCTTGATCTCCTCTGTCACCATCTCTTGCCAGTTGTCCCTAGTTGACACAGAGTAAGGTGTTAAAATCATGGCTGTAAATTGTGCAGTTGTCAATTTTAGGGAGTGCTCTAAGATCTACAAAAACACAACGAGAGCTGCTACAAACACAGTAAATTAAAAAAACAACAACAACCAAAAACCACCAGCCAGCCACAATGAAAACGAATGCACTAAACAAAGAGGGCTTTCACCAATCTGCTTAAGACGATACGACAAGATCAAAAGATTAATGTGGCACCGCCAGACCACAAGCAATTTGTGAGATCCAGAAATCTATCAGGGAAATTTATGTGCACAATCTCATCACGGTAGCACTTTACAGCACAACACCAGCTGGCATGCAGATCTATACCTCCTGTGTATGGACTAAGAAGGTCAAGTCTTTTTCTCTGCTTTCTTTTTCCTGTATGCAGCTATCTCCTCAGGGTTCAGCCCGTGATTGTCTTGCCTGAAGCAACATGTGGATAGTTGCAGTTTGCATGAGTGGCAGGACACAAGTTACATGTGTGCATCGCACTAATGAAAAGCAACATTTCTGAAAATATATCCGAAAAAAAAAAGATGTTTTCAAGTGACTCATGAATCTGACTTCAATGGCAAATTGTGACAATCGTGCACATTTCATTATTTCCCTTTAAATTCAGCTGTTGTGACGGTGCAGTGAGCGAATGAAAAGCGAGACTCGGTCTCTTACCCTGGTTTAATCTCTGGTGGTTTTGGCAAAGGCTTTGTAAAGTTGGTTTTCCCCACAAGCCAGTATGTCTCCTCAATACCTTTACCCTGCAACAAAAAGAACAACTCAGAGCTGTGCAGTCGGTCTTTTAGTAAATAAGTAAGTCCTTCCCAAAGTGTTACCTTTAGCTCTGTCTTTCCTCGGACTTCTATTTTATAACCATCGTTAAGAGAGCGGAGGATCTTCACTGTGCTCATATTTACATGGATTCTATAAGCTGAGGATAGGATAAAGCGCATATAAAGACAATATACAGACAACAGAGTCAACCTAAACATGCCACGATGCAGCAAAGATCGCACGTACGCAGGCCAGTGGATTCCATACGAGAGGCAGTGTTCACGGTGTCTCCAAAAAGGCAATACCGAGGCATAGTCAGACCCACCACGCCTGCAACGCAGGGCCCTGCAAAATACACAACAGAAGTCCAATCATTCCATTCACTCATGGAAAAATGTCCGTTACTAGTGGTGTTTTAATTTAAAGGTTGAAAGCCATGGTTTCAATTAGGAAAGTTTTAGTATCTGAGGTGTTTTACATCCCTCACTTGGAGAGAAGCATTAAGAGTCCCACCTCATAACAGAGCATGCATCAATAACAACAAATACGAGAGAAATTAAACATGAAATTGAGCGGCTGAGGCAGAGGTGGGTTGCAGTGGAGTGGACTGCAGATGTGCAGCAACTGTGGGCAAACTAAACTAGCTTAAACCATGCACTATAATGCCTGAGTTATGCTTTAGGAGCAAATAACTTAATAACATACCCGGAAATGCCTCTTAACCCTGCGGGGTAACTTTAACGTGATGCACACCTCCAAGGAAATGCAACTACTAATCAGGCTGATGCAGCCCACAGCACCTCTGATTGGTGTGGAAGGTTACAGTGTAGGGTTAGGAGGGGTTATGTTGTAAGCTATGACGTGGATTTCCTGCTAAAGGATAATTCAGGCATACAATGAGATATCAGCTGATGTGGGCTGGCATGGCAATGAGCTGTGACTGCATGTGTCTACCTGAACTAATGCTTGTCCATTGACTCTGCATCAAGCCGAAAGCACTGCAAAGTCCACTGCCAAGACTGCAACTCTACTTACTACACAGTATATTTACCTGTGTCATAGTCTTGTTATGTTTTTTTTAAATTGTTGTGTTATTTTGTACGATGCGCCAAAGTAGCCAACATATACTGTTTCTAAATGAACAAATACGATCGGACTACTATGGGGATTCCTGTTCTAAAATCTCTTTCAGCGACGCACATTCATCTTTGGATTCTACCTGATAAGCTTGTCAGGCTGATAATGACTCCAAAGACTGCCACGCCCACCTGAGTGGATTCCTATTCGTATCCTGACGGGCACGTCCGGCATGTGTCGCATATGGAAGGTTCCCACTGAGCTGAGGATGTTCAAAGACATGTTGGCGATCTCAGCAGCATGCTTGTTGCCATTTTTCTTAGGCAGGCCTGATGCTACCATGTAAGCATCACCGA